TGGGAGCTCCTACACTAACTTTCGATTTTTTGCTTGGCTTTAAGTTTCCTTTCCTTTCCTTAGCCTTGACAGGAAGAGGGAAGTGATTCTTGCCTCTTCACTTTCATTCTTGCTCAGAATTGAAAGCTGGCCTTTGTCTTCAGGCCGCTTCTGCCCTGGGAAATATTCTCTGATGCCCATTGCCCACAGAGTGATTCATTCAGCTACAATGGAGGTGCTTGCTGCACAGGGCTTGGGACTGACAAGCATCCATCAACAGCAGACTCGTACTGCCCTCTAGTGTCAGCCAAGCTGGCTGCCTCCATTACCCTTTACTAGTAAAAGTGAGATGTTCAAAAGACATCAGAAAATTGAGTGCTTGGTCTTTGGAAATTTGGCCAGACCTGGGGGTCCTGGGCCCCAGACACAAAGGTCTGTAGAAACCTATAAAAAGTCTCCTCCTTAAGCATTTCACTTGAATGTTAAACTGAAAGGCAGAGTCCCATTCTCCTTGGCCTGGCCCTCATTTTGCTGGGTGATTAGCGACCATGCATGGTGCAGACTGTGAGAGACTCAGACCTGTTCTAGGACGGAAGGAAGGAAGAAAGGAGTTGCAAACAATCATATGTTGCCCTTCTCAAGCATCTGACTTCTGACGGGCTCAAAGTGCAGCAGGCATTCTGGGAGAAATCTTCATGGTTATTCTGGGATATGGGGCTATAAAATTCTCCCGATCTTTCAGAGGAGGCAACTGAGGCACAAAGAGAAGCAGTGGCTTATCCACATTCATAAGGATCTGCTCTCACTTGAGACATTTTACCCTGAGCATTGATTTTTAGTTGATAGGAGGCAGATGATGCGCCTGTAAAGCTTTATTTGATGAAGTAAGCAACCGTTTACACCAGCGTATGCATTTTGGATTTAGTTGGTCTATAAGGTGGAAATCTACCCTGCCTTCAAGCTTACTTTGGACATTCTACATGACTGGTTCAGGATACAAATGCCTGATCTACTCTGGTATATTTGTGTAGCCTGGAACAAATGTCTAGAAAGTGTCTAGATAGGCCTCTACAAAGGCCTTAACTATCTTGATTACCACAAAGTAAAAAACATGCATGTGGACCAGCCCACTGAGAAAGGCTGTCAGAAAGAAACAGAGCGTTCAAACCTCCAGCACTTTGCTTCAGCACGCACCATCCCTCTCCACATATTTGTGAAACAGCATAAGAGAAATAAACCAAGCTCAACAGAGAGAGAGATGTTGGCCCTGAATTTGAGAGGTTCTGAGCCAGCAGAATGGGACCATAGCATTAAATCTTCAATCCCTGGGCTGGTTTTCAAAAGAACTCAGCCCCCACCCAGACACTTGGATGACCAAGGTTTTCAGGGAGGGGGGCTAAGGGTTTAGTATTTCCAAAGCTCCATCCACTTCATTTAAGTGGCTAAAGGGAGCAGGAAGATCTGTCCCTGGTTGTGGGTGATGAGTTCTTGAAAACAGGACACTCAGCATTTTTTCAAATCTGACTAGTAATGAGGCAAAGGACTAAGTCAGCTGGCTTGTGCAACTGTGAATGTTGGTATTTTGTGTCTTCAAGAGCTTTGCTTTGTACTTTTGATGTCCTCTTGAGTGGCGAAGTATTTGCTAATGTGCTTTTAAGGTGTTGCTATTTATTTCAAGGAAGAAAATCCATACCCAGAACTAGTTATGTCCAAGAATAATGTGTCTTGACTAGCAACATTGGCCTGATCCAAAGCCCTGAGGTCCCACTGGAGAAGACCAATGATCTGGTGGACTTAGCTTAGGACTTGGGAGTTGTAGACTTAAGTCTCTACTCTGACACAGACTTCCTAGATGACCCCAGACAAATCACTTTCTGAGCTCCAAAATGACCGCACTGCTCTACCTCACCAGGAGCGTTTGAGGTGCTCAGAGCTCAGAAATTACACTAATAGGAGCTTTCTAAATAATTGAATGAGTTGGTTGGGGGATACAGTGTAAGCACATGGAGAGAGTACATGCAAAGTGCTTCAGACCCCACCCTGATTTGAGACACCTCAGTTCTACATGAACATACTGACTTTTCCCAGCTGAAGTGGCTCATAAGTGCCAAAGCCAATGCTGCTGAGACACTATGGCCACAGGACCTGGTGAGCAAGCGTCTTAACATAGGTCTCCTGAGGGTAGGCCCAGCACACTATTTCCAGCCAGCCGGACCAGGCTGTGGGGCAGGAGCAGGGCTCCATCCAGTAAAGCCCAGCCAGAATAAAGGACAATGTGTTAATTTGTTTTTAAGCTACAAAAGCTTTGTACTAAAACTTCAAAAGCTGGGTGCTGCACCTTTGGAACACAGTACACCAAGGAAGCTCGATGAAAGAAACTTTGCACTGTGAGGGCATCCATGAGACCTGGTGGCCCTGCCAGCAAGGGGTCACTTTATCCCTTAGGAAGGAATAAGAATGTCTAAGAGCCCCCTCTAGGCTTTACTCTGTCCCTTTTCCAGCCCTCCTCTTGAAGCTGTGTCTCTGCACCTTGTGCTGAATTGTCTGGGAAGGTGTCTGCCCCTCTGGGAGCAAAGATCCAGGCTAGCATCCATCTCACTGAGGCAGAGCCTCTAGCTTGCTCCTTTCCTCCTGGCCCTATATACCTCCCACTCTCAACTGTCCAGGGGCCAGCTTCAAAGGGAGCACTGGAGAAAGACCTAGTTAATGCCTGATGTGTGGCATGGTGATTGGAGCCCTGTGCTAGAAACTTGTAGAGAGGCAGCTCCAAGCCCCTCCAGAGTGAGGTGGGGTCTCTTACTCCCTGGGCAAGTGGCCTAACCACTCATCTCAGAGGAAGGTGGGGAGGTAGCACAGCACAAATGCTTGACTTTAGGAAAGCCAACTTTGATGTGCTCAGGGCAGTAGTCAGGGAGGCACTCAGAGCCCAGGGTGTAGCTAGTATGGGGGTCCAGGAAAGGTGGTCCTTCCTCAAGGAGGCTATCCTTGGGGTGCAGCAGGATGCAATTCCTCTGCACAGGAAGGTGGGAAAAGGGTCCAAGAAAACGTCATGGCTGAGCGCGGATATCCAGGCTGGCCTGAGGGCAAAGAAAAAAGTGTACTGGCGGTGAAAGCAGGGGACAGGGACAAAGGAGAAGTACACCTCCCTGACTCAAGCTTGTAGGGAATTGGTGAGGAAGGCTAAAGCAGCACTGGAGCTTAGATTAGCTTCTGGGATTAAGGATAACAAAAAGCCCTTCTTCAAGTATATAGGTAGCAAGAAGAAGTCTCGGGGTAACACTGGACCCCTACGGGGCAGGGCAGGGCAGTTGGTGACGGAGGCGCGAGAGAAGGCAGAACTCTTTAACAAGTTCTTTGCCTCCGTGATCCTGTTTGCTGACAATGGGGTGCTCTTGGGTGATACCGTAGAGAGGCCCGGGAAGGATGCAAGTCCCCCGACTGATAGTTCAGACCTAGTTAAGGATTACCTGGAGGGCTTAGATGTATCCAAGT